GCCAGGCGGGGATGACGGCCTATGGGACCAGGAGGCATCTTTATGATCCCAAAATGCAGACTGACAAGCCTTTTGACCAGACCACGATTAGTCTGCAGATGGGCACCAACAAGGGAGCCAGCCAGGTAAGCAAGGGACACGGAGGCCTGCTGAGTGAGCTAATAACCCTAAGCATAGCTAGACTCTCAGATGGGGTTTTTCTATAGTATTTTTAGTCTTCAGGAAAGTAGGTTTTGCTGGGAGAGCAAAAGAATCAAAGGACCCTTTCTCCAGCCTGAAAAGTGTAGCGTGACTAATGGTTTTGGTTGGCAGTAAGAACACTTGGCCTTTCTGCCTAAACTAGGAGGGAAAAAAAAGTGATGTTTATATGTGTTCCTGCTCCAAAGTCCAAGTAAAAGGTGGGTGGTTCTTCCTTACTGCTTTTTGGTTTTTGCTTTTCAAGGGGCCAGTTTAAATGGGTCCATAAGATTGTCTGTGTAGTCAGCATTCTTAGGAAATATTAAGTGAATGAAAGGAAAGGAAAGGACGTGGCTGCTCCTAGGTAAGGCGGAGGAGAAAGTTTATTGTGTATCAAAGGGAGAGTTTAACCAGAGGCAGACGTAGGGAGAGTCCAAAATGCATGTGACCAGACCTAGGCCATGTGGGGAGGGAGGAAAGGGGAAAGGGGAACCAGCAGCCAGGAGGCCAAAGGTACAAAGGGCGGGTAACCAGAATGTCTGGATTCTGGGGACTAGGTATGCTAGCCATACCCTGTAACAGGGACTGGGGGATTCTGGGAGAACCTGGAGGCCAGGTGAAAATGGCACCTCAGGCATTTGCCCTGGTTTGAAACTTAACACTTAAGTTACCAGAGAAATGAATTTGTATGAAATGCTAGTGCTGTAATTCTGTAACTTAGTACTCTCTTTCTGTTGCTGCAATAAAACATCCTGACTAAAAGTAACTTGGGTTTATTTGGATTACATGTCCATGTCACAGTCCATCCTCCAGGGAAGCCAGTGCAGGAACCTGGAGGCAGGAGCTGAAGCAGAGACCATCAGGGAATGTCACCTACTGGCTTGCTAGGCCAGCTTTCTTAGGCAGCTAGGCCTCCCTGCCCAGGGGGCCCTCCTGTATTCATTAGCAATCAAGAAAATGCCTCATACATGCACACAGGCCAATCTGATAGAGATAATTCCTTCATTAGTTCAAGAGTTTTTAATGGATGAGGGTGTGGACAAGATGGCCCAGGGGTAAGGCGCTTTGTCTGGTGACCTGAGTTTGCCCCTGGAACTTTCACGAAAATGGAAGGAAAGAACTGACTACGGAGTTGTCCTCCAGCCTTCTTGTATGCACCCTGGCCGGCCCCATGTCTATCTAGAGCTCCCCTCCTCCCTGCCTCTTCCTGTCCCCACCACGGCCACCACCACAGAGCCGTATTTCCAGCCCTGGGCATTGTTTTTTTGTTTGTTTTTTGGTATTTTTTGTTTCTAATTTTTTAACTTGGTTGTAGATAGTATTGCTTCTTATTACATATAGGATGGAAAAGCTCACTGTAAGTTTTCAGAGGCCATATAGTGATTTTACAATGGGCAGAAATGTGAAAGATGGCCTGGCTGAGCTCAAGACTCAGTGACTCCCGTCATAAAAACAGGTAGTTTAAGAACATTTTGGAGAGTTAGTTTCATATCAAACCAATTGGAAGTTACGGTGTCAGTGCTTGCATTATTCGTGTGGCTTTCATAACTTAGACAGTATTAACAAGTGTAGATCTTAGCTGTTGTCTTACCTTGTGTACCGTTATGTTCTAATACCAGGCTGGTATGTTGGCACCGGGCACCAGAAGAGACATCTACGACCAGAAGCTGACATTACAGCCAGTGGACAACTCCACCATTTCTCTACAGATGGGTACCAACAAAGTTGCTTCCCAGAAAGGAATGAGCGTGTACGGGCTTGGGCGGCAAGTGTATGACCCCAAGTACTGTGCCGCCCCCACAGAACCTATCATTCACAACGGAAGCCAGGGCACAGGAACAAATGGGTCGGAAATCAGTGATAGTGATTATCAGGCAGAATACCCAGATGAGTACCATGGCGAGTACCCAGATGACTACCCCCGAGAATACCAATATGGCGACGACCAGGGCATTGATTATTAGTCACACACAGGAGTGCAGTATTTAGTCCATTGTTTTTATCCAGTGAGACCCAAGCTAGCCTTGAGTAACTCTCGTCTTCCTAAAACACTATTATGCTTATTGTACCTTTAAAATAAAATGCCTTACATACATTCCTTTTTCTTTTTTCTGCCTTCTCCCTAAATAGTTGCCTTCTAGTGCTGTAATAATTCAATCCTACAGCATAACCAATACCTTTCGTATGAAGTAAAAAGGAATGCTGTGAAAGAGCAGCCGATTCTTGTATGGAAGATCTATGCTTTTTTTTTTTTTTAAACAACCTTACACTTTAAACTGGTATTTTCAAACAATAGGAAACTATTTTTTTCTTTTTTACACTTTGGTGTGTTATCTTGCTTGTACATGGAAGACTAAAATGATGTTGGATTTGCTAAATGTGGTCTTTGCCAACTAAATCTAAGATGCAGCATTTAGAGCCTGACACGTGGATGTTTTTCTGCAGTTCTGCTTGCTGAGTTCTAAATAAAGTCATGACCAGTGTGCGTTTATGATTACATGCGTACTCGATCTCTTCTTTAAGCTGACAAGGTCTGGTCCGAGTGGCGCTTCTAAGAGCGTGTGTACAAAAATGGCTGCAGACATATGGGTTTCGGAGGCGTGCCTGCAGACCTCATTTGTGCCAATGTATCACTGTAGAGTCGCTCTGTTTCCCTCGACTGTATTTATTGCTGCATTTCTCAGCATAAACTTATCCCATTGTATTTTTTATAAATAAAAACTTTTTTTTTTGGAACATTCATATGAACCACAGGCTGGTTATTTTCTGGCTAGCTTCTGTGCAGGCGGAGTTGGGTCAGAAACTGGAGGCCTCATCCCTTGGACACTAAGAGCAGGTGTTCTGGCATTATTTAATTTGAATGGCATGGCACTCGTGGAGACCAGGTCTAAACTGGGTGTGGTGACTTTAACACCTGTAACCCCTGTTGTTCTTTTGTTACAATTATAGGATAAAGCTGGAGAAGGGGCGGGGTGTCCCTCGTGGGGGTCCCAAGTTAAGGGACCACAAGGGAAAGTGTAGCAGGTTCCACAGCAGGTGAGGGTGATGGAGGGACAAACCAGGAACAGAAGAGGAGAGAGAGAAGAGCCTGAAAGAGCAAAGAGAGCGTAAGTGGGCGGGGTCTGACTTTTAAAGGGGTCCTTTGCACCTGCCTGCAGACTAGTATTCATGCAACCCTGGGCTGACTGGAGTACTGCCTGAGTGATTTGTGCCAGGTGACAGGGGCAGGCAGGCTTAATGCTTGAATCCTTCATTCCCAGCACTAGGGAGGCTGAAGAAGGATTTCTATGAGTTGGAGGTCAGCTTGAGCTACAGAGACCGTGTTTTAAAGGTGTGTTTAAAAAAAAAAAAGAGAGAGAGAGAGAGACCAAAAGAGAAAAAAAAAAAAAAAATCCCCATTGCATATAGAATTACCTGGTCCTTGTTTTATTATGACTCGACTGCCTGCCCTGGGTTCATGTTAAATTCAATTTGGAATACCCTTAAAGCATTTCTCGCTGCAAGGGAAAATTATTATGTATGCATTGTGAAATGAATGATGTGGGAAGCTGCCACGGGTGTGCTGTCAGTGATAAACTGGGAAAACTCTAAGCCTTCATTGTCACCTTAGAGAAGGCCAAACAACAGCTAAGTGTGGGAAACTACAGTGCTGGCACCAAGGGGCATTGGTGGCTCATGCCTTCTGACCTTGTCTTAGCCAAGTGATTTCTTCTGATAGGGCTGGCTGTTAGGCTTGGGTGGTTTTTTTTGCCAAGACAGATAAAGAGATGCTTGAACCCACAGAAATAATGTCTACTTGCTTAACTTTCTGTGATGACTCATTTGATGCTTCTGGGAGTGCCCTGTAAATCATCATAGGACACTTCAGAGCTAAATGATCCTGTTAAAGAAAGAAAAAATTTGCATTCAAAGTGGACCTGAGCTGTCAGGCTGTTTCTTGTCAAGTGCAGAGGCAGCCGGGACCGGGAAGGGAGCCTTGTATTACATCACATGGCTGGCCTGCCAAGTAAGTCAGATTTCCTCTCAGGTTAGGATGGGAATTCCACACAGCATCCCATCTGATGAGGTGCCTGTCCTCATGTTCCAAGTTCGTTTTGTTTAGGGCTTTGAAAAGGAAAAGCCCTTGTTCATGGCATCTGTATTTCAGCTGCTGTTCAGGTGCAATTTTATTTTTATTTATGTATTTATTTATTTGTAGTAACTTTTTTAAAAAGCTCCCAGGCACGTCTCTTTTAGGGCAGAAGTTGAGCATCACATCACCTCTCTGTAGTGTTTGCTGATGTGTGAAGGAACCACCTGCTCACAACCAGAGGAGTCGAATCTTGCTTAGTCAACTCTTGCTTAGCTGCCTCTCCTGTGTGTGCCTGCTCCGGTCCAGTTCAGGCCTTTCTTAGGTCACTGAGTGTAAGAGCTGTAACTTGAGATGCTAAGATGCTTTCTTAGTATGTGTCCAGGGTTAGAAAAAAATCAGAGAAAGCCCTGCCCTATGTAAGAACAGTATCGTAGAGTTTCTGCTAACAAAATCCTCCTTGAGAAAAAGATAAACTGGTTGTAACCTCACAAACTCAGGTGAATTTTTACATAATGTGTTATTTTTTACATTTTAAATGTGTGTTAGTGCGCACGTGCGTGTGTGTGTGTGTGTGTGTGTGTGTGTGTGTGTGTGACAGAGAGAGAGAGAGAGAGAGAGAGAGAGAGAGAGAGAGAGAGAGAGAGAACGTGTCACAGCATGTGTGGAGGTCTGAGGACAACTTGTGGGAATCGGAATCGGTTCTCTCCTCTCACTGTGTGGGTCCGGGGCCATCAGTTCAGGTCCGAAAGCTTAGCAGCAGTTACCTTTATCCAGTGAGCCAGTCTTATTTTTTATTTTTATTTATTTATGTTGAGATAAGGTCTCTACATAACATTCAGGTTGGCTTTAAACTCACCCTGGCTTTATACTGGTGGTCTTTCTACTTCAGCCTCCTAATTGTGATTATAGATGTATGTCACTGTGCCCATACATACTGTGCCTTCTAAAGTGATGCATAGAAACATAGTTTTAACGTGATTTTTCTTGCTCCAGTTCATGTGAAAATAGCTATAGGCATTTCAGTATCACAGTGTAGTCAAAGTGAACTCAGGTTCTCCAGGTACAAAGGGCTCCGGGCTCCTATCTCGCAATGGGCCGGAGTTCTGTCCCCTCTTCATTTGGTAATGACTCCTTGCATCCTTGAGACCTTCCATTGTTAAAGTTGCTGGTCCGTTTCATAAAACTCTGAGAAACAAAAAGAATGAGCAACAGAGTGGTGTCATAGCAGCCTGTACTCATGGTCCTAGAGTTTTAAGAAACTGAATCTTGGAAGCTTCCCAAGTGCATTGAAAACATTTGTGTGCAGAGTGAGATAGATGTCAAAGTAGACTTTACAAGGCATGAAGAGTAGACTAGCTTTACTGCAGCCACCAGAGTACGGGAAGACAGGTAAAAATTGGATCGTTATGTGTCTGTGAATGGAACATCCATTCATAGAAGTGCTAGAATCCAGTGTCTGCTGAACTGACAGGGCCTTGAATGTTGTTTAAGACCAAAGGAACTCCACCCTTAATTCTTTGGTTGTGAGCCTAGCCATCTCTCCAGCCCTCAACCCTTAATTTTTATGGCAACAGAAAAACGAAAGAAAATTACTAAAATATCATTTGACCTCCGGCCGCCAAAGCGACACAGCTCGTTGAAATGTCTCCTGTCCAAAGAGGATAAGACAAATGATGAGCAATGCATTGTGTTGCAAAAAGCTGTTGCAAACCACTGCCTGCTAGTTCCAGATACAAGCAGCATGGGCTTCGAGGAGGGTGTGCCCTGTTAGCAGGGGGGGCGAGACCTTCAGATCTGTTGGTTTTGGCATAAAAGGTTAACAGTCTGCAGAGCAATGGGCACTACCCAAAGCGCTGTGGGTCTGAATGGTGCTTGGAAATGCATCATGCTTTCCATAAACATCAGTTGTTTAAACTCCCAGGCCATCCAAGAGGCAGGAAAGATCACGCTTTAGTGCTGAAGATACTACTGTCTCCACCAGAGTCCCATGGAAAAGTCCACACGCCCCATTTTACTCTCACTTCTCTTTGCTGTGTGTGTGTGTCTGTCTGTCTGTAAGGAAGTGGTTCAGCCTCAGAAAGCCGAGCTCCCATCGTCCTCTGGACCAGAAATGAGACTGGGTATGTGGCCTCTGCCATGTGTGCATCTTCGATGCTTTGGGAGGTCATGAGGATGGAGAGTACAACGGGAGGTGAAAAGTTCGCTTACCAAAAACTCTGGGTGCATGAAGTACGGTTTCTCTGACGATCCATCATTCGTTTCCAGATCCACAGCGAAGCACAGGAAAAGTATATCCAGCACAGTTTCAAACACAGACAAGAAACTGTGAGCCACTAGGTAGGCAAAAAAGGCAACTAGCAGCAGAGGGATGGCCCACACTTGGAGAGCACGGTTGTAGTTAAACGCCATCAGCCCTCCAAAAACAGTGAAGCTCACCACCAGTACCTGTGGGGGCGGTAGAGGGGACCCCTTGAAAACCTTTATGAATAGGCTCAGTGACCTGTTTTTACCGAAGGTTTTATTTCCCTCCCACAACTACAAGTAATACTACTGTGTGTGTCCTGAAGAGAACTTGACAGGATGAAATAGAAAAAAAACGGAAAAACTGGTAGAAAAAAGCCTAGTGGGTGGGAAGGTAGACATGAACTTTCACTTTATCTGTGTTAGCCTTTGCCTTCTTGTTAAATGAAATGCACAAAAGTTACTCTGCTTTCTGACCACAGTATGGCAGAATCATCAGGATCCACATTTTAGGATATGTGTGTGTGGTGTGTGTGATTGTGAAGGTGTGTGTGTGTGAGAGAGAGAGAGATGTCCATGTTGGATATCTTCCTCTATTGCTCTCCACTTGAACCTGGAGCTCTTCCATTTGGCTCCCAGAGATTCTCCCATTTCTACCCCCCCCCCCCCACTGGAGTTCAGACATGGAACATCACACCCATCTTTTCTGGGTGGTTGTCCTCATGCTTGCTTATACAGACACTTCACCTGAACCAACCGACTCAGCCTTTTCCTTCCTTCCTTCCTTCTGCACTTCACCTGAACCAACCGACTCTCAGCCTTTTTCTTTCTTTCCTTTTCTTTTTTTTCCAAGCGAGTTTCTCTGCAGCTTTGGAGCCTGTGCTGGAACTCGCTCTGTCGTCTCAGATGACCTCAAACTCTGCTTCCGAGTGCCACCACCTCCAAGCTTTATCCCCATTTTTATACCGCAAGCAATTGAGTAAGTGAATTATTAATTTCCTAAGTGATTGGTTTTACCCTCCAGGCACTAAAGTAGAAAGGTGTTAGTGTGCAAGATAATTGGATTGTCCCAGGCGTTTGTGACATGTAATTATATTTCCAGGAACACATGTACAGGCCATGGTATACCCAGTTTCTTAATATATGTGACAGAGTCCACCTGGGGCCCCCATTACTCCCCAGATGCCTGCAAAGATGAATGTAGAATTCAAAATGCTAAATGCTATTTAGTTCAGAGGCCTATAGTCATTAATTATCCCATACTTTTTGATAGCCCATTAGGCATGGTATGCTTCCTATAGAAATCCTTTTTCTTTTTGTTTTTTCAGGGTTTCTCTATGGCTTTGGAAACTGTTCTAGAACTGGTTCTGTAGATCAGGCTGGCCTCGAACCTTCGAACTCACAGAGATCTTCCTGCCTTTGCCTCCAAGTGCTGGTACTAAAGGTGTGTGCCACTACCATCTGGCCCTATAGGAAATCTTAAAATTAGTATATTTAAAGTGAAACAATATAAATGTGGTAGGGATTATGAAAACTGCACCCACAAATATGTTTGGAATTAGAAAATGTGTCACCTGCAATCTAAGGTGATAGTATTACCAATTTCGTGCAGCTGTACCTTACATGGCTGTTTTGAAAGGCATAATTGTGTTTCTGTCACTATTTGTGGCATGAAACATCTCCGGGCCCAGGTGAGCCCTAAATGTATTAGCACACACCTGTGAGATGCAAGCATGTCTTAACATGCTGGAAGCTAACTATGACAGTCATGCACCAAATATCACACCGGAAGCATAGAATCCTAGATGGAGCAATCCCCATGTTTGGCATCACCCAGGTCACAGTTGGTGACTAAGGTCATGTTCACTTTCGAGCATTGCTGAAAACTGGTATTCATACCAGAGACGGGCAGTGGTTTCCAGCCTGAGGGGGTTTAGCTTTGAACACAGAGTACACAGTGGGAAGAGTCAGAGTCAAGAATCTGAACAGCACCTAAGAGGAAGTAGGAGAGCTAGAGAGATGGCTCAGCAGTTTAGAGTGCTTGCTGCTTGTGCAAAGGACATAGGTCCTCGTTCCAGTCCCAAGTCAAGCTACTCACAACTGCCTGTAACTCTAGTTCCAGGGGCTCTGATACCTCTGTCTTCAACTGTGCATATGACACACATAAACACAGACATAATCATTGGGTAGATGGTAGGCAGATGACGGACGGATGGATAGATAGAGATAGGTATAGGTGGATGGATGGATAGATACAGATAGATGGATAGACAGACAGATCCTTAAGTGGAAGTGGGATCAGACAAACTATGCTATGCAGAATTAGGCCAAGGAGATGAGAATTACATGGAAAGAGATGTTCATCAACATTTCAGTTATCCTTACAACCCAGGAGAGGCAAAGGTTATCATTTGTTTGGTTTTGATTGTTGTACCCCAAGGGCCTTACACATTTGACACCAGTGTTCTTCCACTGACCTCCATCATACCCAGCCCATTTTTAACTTTTGTCCAGGCTAGCCTTGAACTCATTCTATAGCACAGGCTAGCCTTGGCCTTGAGAGTTTCCTGGCTCATCCTCCTGAGTAGCTGGAGGGTTACAGCTGTGTCACAGGACCCTGAGATTTGAAGTTTCCAAGAGCTTTATTGAACAAGACATTTCAAAAAGATAGTCAAGTGACATCGGAGTACAACTGAACTGGCTCCCTCAGATGCTCAGATTCCTTTTCTTTAGCAAGCTCTTGCTCTGTGGCCCTGGCTGCCCAGGATCACACTGTGTAGACCAGGCTGGCCTCAAACTCTGAGACCTGCCTGCCTCCCAAGTGCTGGCTTTCAGATTCCATTTTATAGACCTACTGCTCTTAAATAATGTACAAATTAATCAGATCAATGTTACCTCTACACTTTAGGACCAAAAACCAATCCACAAAGGTTACTCATTTTCTGACATTTTCAACAAACAAAACAAACCAGGGATCAAAATGGTGGACTTGGTCAGAGGCAAGAAAGATAGACTAAGATTAAAATAGTGACTACATGCTGTGGGACCATGGAAACGTGCAACAGTTTCCTTGGCAGAACAGGAAGCCTCGTGGGATTGAGGGATGAAGCAGGGAAGCTACCCCAGAGCCACAAACACGAATCCCCTTTCAAGTCAGCCTTCATATTGTCTAATTTGATGAATTCCAGGCTCGGTTATTTAGTCAAGACATCTCACCTTTCCCAGGAAAATGACAAAGTTTCCAAAGCAGTTAACAGACATGAGATGACTTGAATTCTTGGACATGATTTTGTGTGCGTCTTTTGCTGATGCACAAAAATCCGTCCCATTAATGGCTGCAGCGGTGTACGAGTTCTAGAACAAAAGACAACAGTTACAAATACGGTTCCTGTCATTTGAAGACAACAGAACGACAGTACGGAATCTCCACCCAAAACAAGTTCAAAGTCTCAGTTTCTGGCCATATTCAAATACATTTTCATACTGTTGTGGTAAGTGGAAAAGAATCTCTCATCCGTCCATACGGCGGGTTAAAGGTCCCACCACGAACATGGAAACGATGAGTAAGCCTAAGTTATTTTTTAATACACAGCAGAGTTGGAGGGCAGGAAAGGGAGCCTGGGTACCAGGAAGAGCAGACCCTAGTGACCTGTGAGCCAAACCCACGGCTGCAGCTGCCATGGAATTAGTGAGGGTTCAATGATTAGGGTCCCTAAGGCCTGAGAGATGCTGTTGATTCTTGCTAGAGAACTGAGTTTCCTGTACAAATTAGGATTCAAAGTTAAAAATCAAGCAGCCACTCAGAAAAGTGCTTGAAAGATAACCTACTGTGTGTGCCAGATAGTTGATATCTGGAGTCTAGCTAAGAGCAGAGCAAAACCATTCCCGCAGGGGATGGTGGGCCCCCACAAACAGTTACACTAACAGAAGGGGGTCTCAGGAACAAGACAGACCCTTTACCCTGAGGACCAGGGAGGTGGGAGGGTGGAGGAGGGGTGCTCGGAGCAAATGGAGCACAGTCAGAGGGAATAGCAGGATGGTAGGCAAAACAAGGTAGAGTAGAAAAACTGAGTAAAAATAAAAAAACACATTGTGAAAGATTATGTCTTTGATTTTCGCCTTTGTGTAAGCATATTCTGCTGATGCATGGCATCTAAAATTTTAGTTTTTGGCAACTGCCAGTTCTAAGGGGATGTATACGTGTAACAAAAAATGCCAAGAAGTGAGAGGTGGGACTACTGGCTACTTAAAATATTTTGCTATTATGAGTACATAGTAAACATCTTAATTTCCTGACTTTAGATTTCTTAAGGTTAAACTTGCAAAAATAAGATTACTAAGTCAAAGTGTGTGTGTGTGTGTGTGTGTGTGTGTGTGTGAGAGAGAGAGAGAGGGGGGAGAGGGAGAGAGAGGGGGGAGGGAGGAAAAGAGGAAGGGAGGGAGAGAGAGAGTAGATTTGTTTTTGTTTGTTTGACAGAGGGGCTCACATAGCACAGGCTGGCCTCAAAGATGACCTGGAACTTCTGGGCCTCTTGCATTTTCCTCTCAAGTGCTGAGGTTTTAGGCTTGGGCAATCTACCCCGTTTGTGTGGTGTTGGGAACTGACTTCAGGCCTTCTTGTATGTGGGACCAGCATGCTACCAGCTGAACTCTACCCCTAGCCCAGACTCATTCTTTCATAGAGTGGAAACCAAGATTAAGGGCATTTTCCCAAAGCCCCCTGATGAGTCAGTAAGACAAAGAATCTTTTCTTTAAATTCTAGCTGTCTGGATATTATGTTCACCAGTTTTCATTAGGTCAAAACTCAATTTAAAAGCATGGTGGTTACGGGAAGCGCAAACCCTGTAGTCCAACTGTCTCTGGGCTCAGATCCCACTCTCCAGCTCTTGGGTGAGGAGAGTAGATACAGGGCAGGGGCCAGTGACCAGTCTCGATGAGCTGCTTTTTCTTATCAATAAAGGGGGACATACCTACTGATGGGAAGATTAAAGACACATTCCTGTAGAGCCCAGCATGTAGCAGTGACAAATGTATGAAGGCTAGTCACTCTCATGTAGCTAGAGTGCTCCAAAGATGGCATCCTTTACCATTGGGAGCATGGAGCAGCTCCTCAAGCCTCTCTGAGGCATAGGAAGGACCTGTGTTGTCTTCATCCTCAGGCTTTCCATCTCAAGGATCAGAGAGCGGCCAACCATGTGTCTCAGACCATGTCCCAGTGATCAGTGTGGTGACCACGTCTCTCTCCATCTATGTTTCCTCTCTTCATTCAGGTGCTAGCTCATTCCCTTTCCAAACTGATTCCTAGTGGACATCCTGAGTCATATGGGGAAGGGTAGCTTCATTTTCTTTTGTTTTGATTTTTTGAGGGAGGGTCCCCCACCCCCTCCAAAAAAAACCCACTCCCTCACAACCAATTTAGTACTATCCATCCCTCACATGCAACAAAAATAGACTTTATTCCTCCTCTGAGTTGATTAAAGGTTAAATGATACATTTTCATACATGTGTCAACTCTGCAAATTTCAAGGGGGCTCAGAACCATTTATCTTTAACATCTCATAGCCCACTGAAAGAGAGCATTAAAACCACATTGACAGGGAAATTATATATGCCTTCCTAAAGTGACTACAGCACTAGCATTTTACTGCAAGAGTCATCCCTGAGTGTCAGCCACATCAAAACCTAGATTGATGACTGGCTGAGTGAGTGGAGGAGGACAGCATCGCCCTTGACACAGGGTGCAGACTTTGAGCATTCTGGTCTTTCAGCATTAGTGGTCCGGCCTGCACTGATGCAGAAAAGAGGCTGCTTAGTTAGTAGGCATCATCAGCAGGATAGACTACACAAGGCTGTCCAAGTGTGTGCGTGCGCCTGAGCTCACAGCTTCAGGGCCATGTGCTAAGTTAGCTACAGGGCTTGACTGTGTGTGGAAAGGATGGCTTGTGATGAGGACTAGGAAACAAGGACACCATGTCAATCATGAAGGATCAGGGATGACACCCCAACCCCCCTGTGAGAGGATAATGCTTAAATCACTTAAGGTTGGTGACCACAATTAACAGGATGAGCAGCGTGGAGGTGGCTCATGTCTTTAATCCCAGCACTTGGAAGGCAGAGGCAGGAGGATCTCTGAGTTGGAGGCCAGCCTGGTCTACAAAGCTACACAGAGAAACCCTGCCTCGAGAAATCTAAATAAATAAAGTTCACAGGACGAGCTGCTTTATCCTCTTTGTGAAATAGGGTGTCATGGACCTGTTCTCAACTTTACAACTAGGATGACTTTGAATTTGCCGTCTCCCGTCTCTAACTCCCGAGTGCTGGGATTACAGCATTTGTTGTTCAGGCAAGCGCTCTAGCAACTGAGTGAGCTCCATCTCCAGCCCAGGTCAAAAGGTTTTTCAGATCTGACGTCGTAAGACACACCTTAGAAAGAGAAAGGAGGAGCGGGTGAAATGAGGACCGAAGGTCCGAGAGAGGATGTATTGTGAGTTTCCTAAGTCACTTAGGCAATAACAAAGGCTACGGGAGGAGTAAGCCACAAGTTATGGCTCAAAACCACCATATCAGAGTTTCGCCAGACATTCCCACACAAGCCATAATGCCCAAGGGCCCTGCTGCACTTAGGGTCAATGTGGCGTGACCACACAACCCCCAAGCACACTGGCCCGCTGGCAGTGACAAACCAGAGTGTGGCCCAAAGTCAAGAAACTCCCCTGGGCACAAATGACAGGACTAGGAACTACACTTCTACCCAGATGCTCTGACTCCTGAACACCCTGATGCCAGCAGAGGTCCTAGTGGCATGTCCCCAACCAGCTTGGCACTAACCTGAAGAGGGCTTCTTATCTCATATCTGTGGCCTTTACTGTTGTCTTCTCTAGGTACTTCTATGTGAAAGTAAATACTGTCACAAATGTTCATGCAAGTATATAGTGTACCACATTCTAGGCTCTCTTCCTGAACATTCTGACTCATTTAATCCCTTTAGCCCCAAGACAGTAAGGTAGCAGAGAGTACCCAAGCACAGAAAGGCTAGATGGCATGCCAAGCCACCCACATGAGACCGATGTTATGTGGCTCCTGGATGGAGAGGACCTCTGACTCGACAGACCGGTCTGCAGGAAAACATTTACTTTGAGGTGTGCATTGTGCATTGCCTTCAAAACAGCAGTGTGGTGTTCGTGTGAGATCTGCCATTATGACATGGCAGGACAGTTTTGCAGAAGGAGGCTGGGTTCTAAAAATGGTTGCCTCCTAAAGCCTGCAGAATGATTGCTGCAAGACCCTGCTTCTTCTCAGAGGCCTGGTTTTGGGCTTTGTGAAAAGACATCTGCTGACTTTAGAGTTTTGTATTAAAGATGATCATGTTTGGAGAGATGCTCAGCAGGAAGGAGTGCTTGCTGTGCCAGTATGAAGACCTCTGTTGAAATTCCCAGAGCCCACATTAAAAGCTGAGTGGAAGGGCTGGGAAGATGGCTCTGTGGTTAAGAGTATTTGCTGCTCTTCCAGAGGACCTGGGTTTGGTTCCTGGCATACACATGGCAGCCCACAACCCTCTGGAACCCCTGTTTCGGGGATCTGACACTCCCTTCTAGCCCCTGCAGGCACTGGACATCATGTGGCACATATATGGCACATACATATATGGAGATAAACATTGTTACACATAAACAAAATAAATAAATGTTTTGAAAAAGAAAAGCTGAGGGCGGTCACGCACTAGTATGTGGGAGAGAGACAGAGACAGGAGGGTCATTGGCGCTTGCTAGCTACCAGAAAGCTCCAGAGTCAGTAAGAGATCCTGTCCTACAGGAACATGGTGGAGAGTGATAAAGCAGGACACCCAAAGCCTTCTCAGGCCCCATGAGTGAACATGTATGCTTGCATCCACACATACACATGACACACAGAGAGGCACATATGCACACACACACACACACAGAGGCACATGTGCATGCACACACAGACATACACAGAGGCACACGTGCACACACATACACAGAGGCACATGTGCACACACACAGAGGCACATGTGTATACATACACAGAGGCACATGTGCATACACACACATACATACACAGAGGCACATGTGAACATATACACACACACATAGAGGCACATGTGCGCACACACACATACACAGAGGCACATGTGAACATATACACACACACACAGAGGCACATGAGCACACACACATACACAGGCACATGTGTACACACACACAGAGGCACATGTGTGCGCACACACACACACACAGACACACACACACTTTCAAAGTGCCTGCAGTGGACCAGGAACCTGATCAGTTACTTCACCTTAACTCAGTAAAGTAATCTCTGCAGGCACTGTTAT